GGAAAAACATAAGGAGTTCAATTCCTGAATATACTAAGGCAAAAGAATACATGGCAGCAATTGAACAACAGTTTGTAAGTTCCGATAAAGCATTGGCTAGCACCCTAATGACCAAATTATCATCAATGAAGCATATGAGTAATAAAGGGGTCCGTGAACATATTATAGAAATGAGAGATATAGCTACCCAAATGAACTCATTGGAGTTCACTTTTTCAGAGACATTCCTTATCCAATTTATACTCAACTCCTTGTCTGCTGAATATGGGCCATTCAAGATTTCTTATAACACACGTAAGGAAAAATGGTCAGTTAATGAATTACTTACCATGTGTGTTCAAGAAGAGGGGAAATTGAATCAGGAGAAGCTAGAAAGTGCTCACCTAGCGACTCATGGCGAGGGACATATCAGAAAGGGTGTGCAATTTAAGAAGAAGGGGAATGCATCAACTAGCAAAGTTGACGATAAGGGTACCATTAAGTGCTTTTTCTGCAAAAAAAAAAAAAAGGGCACATGAAAAAGGAATGCCATAAGTATAAAGCTTGGTTGCTTAAAAAGGGTAATCTCTTTTCCTTTGTGCGTTATGAATCAAATGTAGTTAATACATTAAATGATGCTTGGTGGATTGATTCTGGTTCTACAATTCACATTGCTAATACCATACAGGGTTCAATCAACCTAAAGAGACCGACGAAAAGTGGAGGCAGTTGGAACCTACAGACTCACCTTACCATCTAGCTCTACATTAGAACTTGAAAGAACTTTTTATATTCCAACTTTTTCTAAAAATTTGATTTCTATTTCGAAACTTGTTGAATTTGGTTTTAATTTTAATTTCTTTAATACTTCTTTAAGTATTGTAAAAGATTCTGTTGTTATTGGTAATGGTATTTTGGTTGATGGTTTATATAAATTAGATTTAAACCCTGATATTGATTATAACCACTTAACCTTGCATGAAAATATTGACATCAAGTGTATGACTAAAACAGAGAAATCTTCTTCATTATGGCACAGGAGATTAGGACATATCTCCTTACAAAGAATTAAAAGATTAGCAAATGATGAAGTACTTGATATTCTTGATTTTTCTGATTTTGGTATTTGTGTGGACTGCATAAAGGGTAAGCAGACTAACAAAACCAATAAGGGTGCCAGAAGGAGTTCTCAAATTTTAGAGATCATACACATTGATATATGTGGACCTTTTCAAATTTCATATTTCAATGCTTAAAAATATTTTGTTACCTTTATTGACGATTGCACACGTTTTATGTATCTTTACCTTCTAAATGATAAAAGTGAAGTACTTGATACTTTTAAATCATATAAGGTGGAAGTAGAGAAATAAAGGGAAAAATAAATCAAGATAGTGCGATCGGATAGAGGAGGAGAATATTATGGTAGATATACAGAACAAGGACAAAAACTAGGTCCATTTGCAAAATTCCTTATGGAGAATGACATTATAGTGCAATATTCGATGCCAGGCACACCAGAACAAAATGGTGTGGCAGAAAGAAGGAATTGAACACTAGTGGACATGGTAAGAAGTATGATTAGTAATTATTCTCTCCCTTTATCTCTATGGAGTGAGGCCTTAAAAATCGTTGTGTATATCTTAAACAGGGTTCCAACCAAATCGGTTCCAAAAACACCCTTTGAGTTATGGAATGGTTGGAAACCAGGTTTACGACACTTACACATATGGGGTTATCCAGTTGAGGTCAGGGTGTACAATCCTATAGAGAAAAAGTTGGACTTAAAGACAATAAGTGGGTTTTTTATTGGCTATGCAGAAAAGTCCAAGGGGTTCAAGTTTTATTGTCCTTCGCATAAATCCATTATTGTTGAGGCGAGAAATGCTAGGTTTCTTGAGGATGTTGACATTAATGGGAGTTAACAATCTCGAAATTTAATTTTTGAGGAAACACAGGATTTGGTTGTTAAACCTGTGACTAAAGAACCTTTATCTGTACTTCAAGACATTTCTCAAGATGTTATTATGGAATAACAGGTAAATCAAGAAGTTCTTACCCACGAGAATCATATTGTCAATGAACCTGTTCTAAATGAACAAATAGAGTTAAGAAGATCCTCAAGAGTACGAAAACCTGCAATCCCCTCTGATTATGTTGTATATTTACAAGAAATTGACCATGATATTGGAATTGATAAAGGCCTAATTACGTTTTCACAAGCCATGAGTGGAGAAAATTCAAGGTTATGGCATGATGGCATGTTAGAGGAACTAGACTCTATGGCTAAAAATCAAGTCTGGGATTTGGTTCAATTGCCAGAAGAGGCTAATGCAGTTGGCTGTAAATGGGTTTATAAGACTAAAAGAGACCCAAAAGGCAAGATTGAACGATATAAGGCCAGACTTGTAGCTAAAGGGTATACCCAAAAGGAAAGCATTGATTACCATGATACATTTTCTCCCGTTTCTATAAAGGATTCCCTTCGTATTATCATGTCATTGGTTGCTCATTTTGATTTAAAATTACATCAAATGGATATGAAAATGACATTTCTTAATGGGGACTTGAATGAGGAGGTATACATGAAACAACCTGAAGGTTTTTATTCAGATAAAGAAAACAAATTGGTTTGCAAACTCAAGAAATCTATATATGGGTTGAAACAAGTCTCACGTCAGTGGTATTACTAATTTCATGATGTTATCTCTTCTTTTGGGTTTAAAGAGAATATCATTGATCAATGTATATACCTTAAGGTTAGTGGAAGCAAGTTCATTCTTTTGATCTTATATGTGGATGATATTTTGTTTGCCAGTAGTGACTTAGGGTTGCTACATGAAGTTAAAGAGTTTCTCTCTAGAAATTTTGATATGAAAGATATGGGTGAAGCATCCTATGTCATTGGCATAGAAATTTATAGGGATAGATCACAATGATTGATTGGATTATCCTAAAAGGCCTATATCAATAAAGTTTTAGAGAGGTTTCGAATGTTGGGTTGTGCTTCAAGTGTTGCTCCTGTTGTCAAGGGTGACAAATTCAGTCTAAATCAGTGCCCAAGAAATAATTTGGAAAGGGAAGAGATGGAAGTCATTCCTTATGCATCTGCAATAGGATGTCTAATGTATGTGCAAGTATGAACTAGACCAGACATTGCATTTGCAGTAGGAATGTTAGGCAGATACCAAAGTAATCCAGGAATGGATCATTGGAGAGCTGTAAAGAAAATAATACGATATCTACAAGGGACAAATGATTACATGCTGACATACAAAAGATCAAATCTTTTGGAAGTGGTTGGATATTCTGATTTTGATTTTGGAGGATGTATTGACGCTAGAAAGTCAACATCAGGATATGTATTCCTCTTTGTAGGAGGAGCTATCTTGTGGAAAAGCTTAAAACAGAAATCAATCACTTCCTCTACTATGTAGGCAGAGTACGTAGCATGTCATGAGGCTACAGGACATGCCTTATGGTTATGGAATTTTATCACAGATCTTAAAGTTGTGGATTCCATCTCTAGGCCATTAAGAATCTATTGTGATAATTCCGCTGCGGTTCGTTTCTGTAACAACAATGCAAGTGGGAGTTCAAATAGGTGGATTGACATAAAGTTCCTTGTTGTTAAAGAAAAAATTCAGAATTATCAAGTGTTAGTAGATTACATAGGAACAAGGTCAATGGTCGCAGATCCTATGACAAAAGGTTTGCCACCCAAATTATATAAGGAACATGTAAGACATATAGGACTTATTAATATGTCTTGTGTTTAATTTACTAAGACGCTTTAAAGTTTGTAATTGTATTTATGTTCTGATGAATTTTTTTTTTTTTTTTTTTTTTTTTTTTTTTTTTTTTTTTTTGTGTGTCATTTTTAAGGAAGTATACATAAAGTTTATAAATGACAAATTATCCTTTTGGATAATAAAGTAAGACCTTAGAATGGGTTTATGGGAGCTTATTCATACCGATAGTCCATTGGGACAATAAAGTTGACTTCCTTGAATAGTTTTTGAAATAACTATTTATAAAGTACTATCACATAAAGATATTTATCTAAAGAAAGACAGTGATATAATGATACATGGAAGGTAGCATTTGTATAGTGTAATTTTCGCCATGATTTTATACACTGAAATTATATATATATTAGTTCTCAAACCCATAAGGGTAATGAATGTGTTAATATTGGCCAAATGGGAGAATGTTGGACACGTTTAATCATTAAACGTGGTGTGGCCTATATTCTCACAGTATTCTAACCACTTACACTGACACAATGTTACTGGGAAGTTATAACTACGTAGTTTTTGGAAAGTTGCGGTGGTTTAATAATAATTGTCATTTTGAATCAAAATAGAAAAGAGGGCTTGTATGATGGATTACTTGCTTCTCGATTTTATTTTTTTACAGAATCCTACAGAGGTCGCATGTCTAACAAGTACAGTCTGTGTTGTCTCCATCAAGTATACGCATCAAGACTTGTATAGGCGTGAACGTTATTAGGATTTCTTACTTTGTTTTGCAGGCATTAATCTGATTTCATGGCTGGAGGTAATGCGATCTCTTTGGACTTGATGATTTCTTTAAGTTTATGGATGTGCAGATGAAAATGGGTCTGTTGCGGTGACAGAGATTAGGTATTGAGAGAGAGAAGATAGTGAAAAGGAGAAACAGGTTTAACCCGCAAAAAGGGCATTGCCCATATTAATATCATTGTTGTTGTGGACAGATGTCAAAATATTATAAGGCCACGTCATCAGGGAGGATGCATCCTCCGCAGGACGCAAGCATGACTCTTATTCTACAGGCTTGTTTTTAAAGCCCATAGTGGCGCATCTAGAACAAAGCAGTTATAAAGCTAATACCTAATTGAAATTCATATAAAGGCCCACTTAACAGAAACCCATTTGAGTATCCAACAAACAAGTGGCATCCCCAGAAACCAAAGAACAAAGAAGCACCCAGTGTGCTCATATCAACCAATCCTTTGCCCCGCACGTTCTACTTAATCCAACCCTATCCTTTTCCTTTCCCCTTTCCCTTTCACTTCCACCCCCACTCTTTCCCTCTTCCTTGCTCTGTTTCCATTGACAGAACAAAAAGCCCCCTTACAATGGCACTAGCTACAATCTCCCTATTACCCATTAAATCCATTAACATTTCTTCATCCACATCATCATCACCATCATCTTCTTCTTATAGGGCTCTCAATCCTATGCAACCTCCCTTCAAAACTTTAGCTTGCAGGATAGAGACACAAGATGAATATCAGAAAAATAGTAAGAGTTCACACTTCCAAGTTTAGCTGCTTTTGTCAATTTTCACAGTAAGAGGTGCAAACTAAATGAATTGTAACAAAACCAAAACTAATAATAAGTAAGACCACTCTGGAAATGCAGGGCCCAAGAAGTGGAGAGCCGTGGTTTCAACGGCGCTGGCGGCCGCAGTGATTATGTCTAGCTCCAACATGTCTGCTCTGGCTGAACTCAACAAGTATGAAGCAGATACGCGGGGCGAATTTGGAATTGGATCGGCTGCGCAATTCGGTTCTGCAGATCTCAGGTCCATCCAACTTAACAAATATATAATTGTACTTTTGTAGATATCTTTAGGTTCTGTGACAGTAAGTTGAATTCAGTGTTTATTGTTATGCAGGAAAGCAGTTCATATGAATGAGAATTTCAGGTGATTCTTCATCCTTGATTTGATTGCCTTTGCATAATGAATCCCCAGCACTTGAACTTTGTTGCAATGATAACAAAGGAAACAGAAATAAATTGAAATCTAAATTTAAGCTCAATTTCCTTCATTCCCTTCATTAGACACTAAACTTATAAAGGACTTAAGATTTAATCAACAAACTAGGTTCAAATGCGCATAAATAAAAAATTGTCTTCAATACCAATAAAATAGAAGCTTTACCAAACACACCAACTTTGATACTTTGGCTCCATATATAGCAAAACCAAAGAACTTACAATGCTTTCCAGCCACTAGGTTCATCTGAGTTTTAATTCTGCAGGGAACCAAAAAACACAAAAATTGCAAGTCAAATTTTACTTTTCCTGCTATTTTTGTTGTCTATGAAGTCATTTGGAAAACTATGTATCATGAACTGAATTTTCCATTTAGTTTATCTACATGCTACATCAGTTTATACTAATTAGAGTCGGTTAGGCTCTAGACATACCATAATTAAGTAACACAACATATTTTTAGTAAAATCTTGTGTTTATAATCAATCTAAATGACTGCTACAGACGAGCCAATTTCACATCTGCTGATATGAGGGAATCTGATTTTAGTGGTTCAACATTCAATGGTGCATACCTTGAGAAAGCCGTTGCATACAAAGCAAATTTCACAGGTAAAATTTCATTGTTTTTCACAAAAGAGGAATGGCATAATAAGTAGTCTAACCTGTATGACTACAAGTCTTCTTCCTTTCACCGTAAGTTTTTTATTCTAATTTCTCCTGTTTATTGATTACAATTGTCTTGGTCCTCCAGTTAATGCTTCCCTCATTTACGTCCTGTTGCACCACTAGCCGGGTTACATTTAAAGGCTCTTTTGCCCTGTCTCCATGGACATCTTGGTGCAGCCATCAGAGCCTGAACAATAACCCTGTGCCCTGGTTGTTGCAATCCTTGCACCTGATTCATACTGGAAGATGCACCTGATGATTTTATTTTCTTGTCCTTTATGTTGTTTGAGAGCTCCTTCCTCAGCTTCCCTGCTGAACCCCAATCATCACCATCAGCTTTCCCGATAATTGTTTGGGATTTAATCCCCGAGTGATGCAATTTGCTCCCATGCATGGGATTAACACAATCTTCATTTGAATCAATTCTTTCCAACTTAATTTTAGCAGATTTTGTAGGTTGAGTTTCCTTCTTCACTGCTTCAGTATTATCATCTTTGCACTCGGTTTGAGCTTTACCTACACTGTTTCCAGGAAAAATCTCTTTCAAATTTGCTTCTTTCCTTCCTGTCTCCTCAAATGGCTTGTTTCCTAGAGTAGGATTCTTGTGATTTACACCGTTGTTCTTAGAAGAAGCTAGGGATTTCTCCCAATCTCCTTTGCTAAGATTTGAAAATTCTGTTCCACATCCTGGAGGGAAGTCTCGAATAGCTGAAACCCTTCTTCGTGGAATACAAATTTTTGACAAAGTGTCAGGCAAGATTTTCAAATTAGTGGGCCTGTCCACCTGCTGAGCCTGACATCCAGCATCATTTTCATAAGGTTTGATACGGTCATCCTCTGAATCACCAGCACTATCCTTTGTTACCTTTTTAACATCATCCCTTACAGTTTCCTCAAGTGGCTCACTTTTTACATCAAATTTCTCGAGATGCAAGCCTTTGTTCTTAGATGAGGCTAAAGCCTTCTCACAGTCTTCCCTACTAAGATGTGTTACATTCCCTCCACATCCCGAAGCGTAGCATCTAATATCTGGAACTTCTCTTCGTGGAATATACATTTTAGACGAAATATTGGGTGAAATTTTCGAACTACTTGGTGTATCAACCTGCTGAGTGGGAGACACAACATCAATTTGAAAAGGTTCCACAGAATCATAATCCGAATCACCCATACAATACTTTATTACTTGTTTAATATCACTCCTTACACCGTCCTCAAATGGCTCGGGGGCAACCGTTGGCTCTAATTTAAAATTAGAGGGTATTTCATGAATTTCTGAATGAACTAAACTCCCCTTAGACACAACATCAATCTCAAAAGGCTTTATAGACTCATTCTCCAGGGCACTAGCATCAACATTGTGGCCCAAACAATTCTCAGCTATACCAACAAAAGCCAAATCTTTGTTTTGGGATCCCGATATTTGTGTACCAAATTTCTCAAACCCTTTTGGAAAATCACGGATTGCAGACACCCTTCGTAGCTTATACTTATTTGGAACATAAAAAGCAGCATGCCTGTTATTTTCTGATTCCTTCCTCTTCAGTTTCTCTCCATGAGAACCATAACTGGATACCGGAACCATTCTTGGGTACGATGGAATCTGGCTCAAAAATGAACTCCCAGCTTTCACCAATTCAATTTCCATAACAAATAAATAATAACGCAAAATTAACATTAACCATATTTAAAAAATAAATAAAAGAAGAAGAAACCACACCGCCATCAATCCAATATGGTACTCTTCAAAAGAAGGCATAATAATGAACGGAAGAATCTGAAGCATGAATATCTAACCAAACTTCAACAAACAAAGAGAATAGCATACAACTAATGCTTGCTAATGACCTAAGTCACACAGAGCAAGAGCTGAGTGTGAGTGGAGAGCGGCATAATCTGTGCCCAAGAGCAACATTGGTTTAGAAGAATTGTGTGATGTACCATATATTCAAGATGAAGCCATATCACTATACTATTATGTTGCATTGGGGAGTACAAATCAGAGTCTGAATTTAGAATTGGAGAAAATTTAATTTAAACTTTGAACAGAATTTCCCAAAATTTCAAATCCAAGGCGTGATTTGGTACTCCCAAATATATCATTATACATGTTTGAAACTGGGTTTAGAATTTGTTTTACTATACATAAACATATATATATATATATATATATATATATATATAGATTGATATATACACATAAATACATCTAATAAAGAGGGTAATCTGCCATTCTATGCTTCTATTATCAGTTGGTATATTGCTTTTTAATGTGGGAAACAGCCCAACAGAATAAATACGTACACTATACATATTATTTTAAAGATGTTAATATCTATGGGGTAAAGAATGAAAGAGATGGAGGTCCTCTTGAAATATTACGGAATTAAGTAGATAAAAACCAAGAAAAAAAATACAAACAGAATCAGCACTGTATGATCGATGGCAAGAGTTAACTCACCAGTAGTAGTTTTTAATGTCGATCAGGAAGAGGATGAGGCAGGGTGAGATTTGCTTGGGGGGGGGGGGGGGGGGGGGGGGGGGTGGCTGCAGTCGAGCAATTTAAGGTTACTAACTTCCAAAAAAAGCAAAAATTTAAGGTTACTCACACGTGCCTTCCCTACGTGGCTGGTCTAACTCGTGGGTCTTGAGCAAGTTTTGGTTTGGGTTTGTTCAAAGGTGTTGGAGTTTGGCGTGGGACGATTGGTGGGTCCTAATCCGAGCAGTCTAAACATGTTGGAATTGGATGATGAATTTTTTGGTGGCTTGATGTTATTGATAGTTAGTAATCTAATTTTTGACACAATTGCTTTTAATGTTTGAATTTTTTTTTAAATTTTTTTATTTTATTTTATAGTACTCCGTAACTGATATTTAGTTAAATTTATAAACGAAATAATTCTTAAAGAGTAGTATAAAGTTTTGAATCCTTTCCAAATTACAATATGAATCAACATTATTAAATTTAGAAATTTGAGTAGTCTTATCCCAAGTTTAACGCCTGTAGTTTCAATATAAGGTATATGTATATTTTTTTTTTTTTAAAAAAAAGAAAAACTTGTAGTTTCAATATAAGGTAAATGTATTTTCTATATATATATATATATATATAAATCTATTTTTTTTTCTATTTATAGGTTGATATGGTAAGCTGGTAATTTTCTTAAATTAAAATTTGGTGTCACTGAAATTTTGAATTTTTCTTAATTGACATGTACTAAATAAGAACGCATCCTTCCCAAGGCTTAACTTGAATTTATAAAAAAGACAATACTTGATTCCTCTTTTAGGAGGAGGATATCATCCTCCCCAGCTTATGTGGCACAATACAATTTAGGCATATGTTTAATGCGAATTCAATTACTCCATATATACTTCAATTACTTAAAGTTAACATGTGCCCCAATTGTATAACATTGATAATATATATATATATATATATATATATATATATGTAGAGTAGTGATCTCTTGCTCCTTGTAAAGCAAGAAAATTCTTTCGCACTTTCTATAGTAACCATTAGATTAATGGTCACATTTCAAATGCACCATATGCTTTCTTTTTAATACAAAACCACTATCATTATTTCTAGTTTCTAAATTTAATATTTGCCAATACAATTAATTATAATAATAAAAGGTAAGTACTAAAAAAATAAAAATAATGATACTATAATAATAGCAGTATTAAAGAAAATATTAAGAAAAATAACTAATTAACAAAGGAAATCTGAAATTTCATAGAATAATAGTATGTTTTGTTGTGAATCTCCTCATTACGTCAATAAATTTTTGTTACTATAGTGGAACTAGAAAAAATATATTGTGCAATTTATTATACAAACACTGAATACAAACCCTGTAAAAAAATTTGTCATAATAAATTGCACAATATATTTTTTTCTAGTTCTACTATAATAACAAAAATTTATTGACGTAATGAGGAGATTCACAACAAAACATGCTATTATTTTATGAAATTTCAGATTTTCTTTGTTAATTAGTTATTTTTCTTAATATTTTCTTTAATACTACTATTAATATACTATCATTATTTTTATTTTTTTAGTACTTACTTTTTATTGTTATAGTTAATTGTATTGGTAAATATTAAATTTGGAAACTAAAAATAGTGATAGTGGTTTTGTATTAAAAAGAAAGCATATAGGTGGATTTAGAATGTGACCATTAGATTTAATCTTACGGTCACTATAGAAAGTACAGAAGAATTTTCTTGCTCTATAGGGAACAAGAGATCACCACTCTATAGAGTAAGAAAATTCTTTCGCACTTTATATAGTGATTGTTAGATTAAATCTAATGGTCACATTCTAAACCCACTTATAGCTTTCTTTTTAATACAAAACCACTATCACTATTTTTAGTTTCCAAATTTAATATTTACCAATACAATTAATTATAACAATAAAAGGTAAGTACTAAAAAAATAAAAATAGAAATCTCTTCTTCTCTTGAAATCATGTCTCACCATTAATTGGAATTTTTTTTCTAAATTTTTTTTTTATAAGTGTTAGCAAATTGCATCCACGACTTGATACTAAAGTTGACATGGTCTGTTTGAGTGTAAAAGAAAATTAAAAATTACACTATTAACATACAAAACAATGAAACATCGACTAAAAAATAATAAAAAATTAAAAATAAAATCTACTTGATCAACCTAATGTAATCTGTGATTTGCACTACACTTCACTCATAAAAAAAAATTAATAGAGTACAATTTAAATTATTGTATACCTCCCTAAATGCATGCTATTTAAAAATTAGAAATTCAATCAATTTTTCTCTAGCTTTTTGTCACAAATTCTAACTAGTTGTCAGCACAATATAATTATTCATCTGTCATAATAAATTGCACAATATATTTTTTCTCGTTCTATTATAATAACAAAAATTTGTTGACGTAATGAGGAGATTCACAACAAAACATGCTATTATTATATGAAATTTCAGATTTAACATTTTCTTTAATAATGCTATTATTATACTATCATTATTTTTATTTTTTTAAGTACTTATCTTTTATTGTTATAGTTAATTGTTTTGGCAAATATTAAATTTGAAAACTAGAAATAATGATAGTAGTTTTGCATTAAAAAGAAAGCATATAGGTGGGTTTGGAATGTGATCATTAGATTTAATCTAATGGTCACTATAGAAAATGCGGAAGAATTTTCTTACTCTATGGGAGCAAGAGATCACTACTCATTATACGAGTTTGAAAATATACCACTAAAAAACTTTCTAGTTGGAGAATATTATAAATAAATCACGTATCTATTGGTGAGAAAAGTTAGCTTATATATTACATATATATGGAATAAATAATAATGTATATATTTTTATATAGATTTAAATAAATAAAAATATATAAAATATATATGTAATAATTTTATTTAAACCTAATATACAGATACTCTCAAAACGCTCCCGCTTTCAAAACCTACTACACATGTATTCAGTCTTCTTCTTTTTTTTTCTTTTTTTTTTTCGTTCCCAATTTAAAATTTTTTAGAATCCCTCTTTTTAGGGTAACTCTCTTCTCTCTCTCCTTGCAAATCTCCATATTCAACCTTTATAAGAATATAAACCAACTGAAACTCATAAATGACACAAAATTACACCAATCCAAATTTGCAGTATTCAAAAAAATTTATTCTTTCTTTTCATACTTTCTAGGGATGAGAGAGGAAAAAAAAAGAAGATACCAAACGGTTGTCCTATTAATTGAAGGTGTTGGGAACTTGGAAGGAATGAAAAACATAAATCTAACTTTGACCAAAAGTAGACCTACTAGAAAAGCTTTATTCATATAGATTAACGTCAAATTTTCATGTAATATTTTAATCTCCTACTATGTTTCAATAATATGTTAACATATATGAATATAAGTTTTTTTTTGACATATTTCATCCTTCCCGAAGAGACCCAAGTATTGTCCTTAAAAAAACATATGCTTAAATTTGACTGGGATTAGAATTTATCCTCCAACTCCGAGTGGGTATCTCAATCCACTAGTTGCAAACTTGCAATACGAATCTAGTCTTGTTCTAGAGCAGGAGTATGCGTGACTTTGTATTCATGGGGATCTTGGATAAAATTTGATCCATTTAAAAAATAACCTAAATTCATATCTGAATTGAATTCATGGTGGTGATCTTTAAGTTTTTAATCAATTTCAGATCGAATTAGATCTCAGAGCATACATGTGTTTCAAGCCCTAATAACGAGGCATTTACCACTCATTGCCATAATTTATCTTTCACCTACTGCCTAATTAACCTTAATATCTTCAAAAAGTTTTTTCCAATCAAGACTCATGTTCAAGTTATCTTATTAAACTCTTATAAGTCCATTTTTCTTAGTTGAAGACGATCTCTCTCTTGGATCTTTTAACATATATATACACTTACACTTTATATTGCATCTAAACAACTATGTGTACAGCATAACTATATACTATTTTCATTCGGATCTATTGAGATTCATGTCTAAATTACTCTTCCTTTCACTGTATTAACTAGTTTTTAGTATTCATTCAAAACATCTATATATATATATATATATATATATATAATTTACCAATGTTGTTGTCATTTACAGGTGCGGATTTGAGTGATACATTGATGGATCGCATGGTAAGGCTACTTATGGAGTTTTTTTTTTCCCCTCCTTTTTAAACCTGAATTGGTAGGAGATACATACATATATACATACATACATACATATATATATATAGCCATTTTATGTAAATTTGGTTCACACAACTAAAACAACCATGAAGTAATTGTAACAAAGAACAAAGTGAGTATAATTCATATGATCATAAAAAGGGTGCTAGGCATTTGAATGATATACATAGTACGTGTGAATGGTTGTAGGTTCTGAATGAAGCCAATCTCACAAATGCAGTCCTAGTTAGGACAGTTCTCACCCGCAGTGATCTTGGCGGTGCACGTATTGAAGGTGCTGACTTCAGTGATGCTGTTTTGGACCTCCCCCAAAAACTGGTACCTACAATTTTAACTTACTTTTATCTCACACACATATCTACTGAACTATTTTTTCCTTCAACCTCTTTTAGTTACTTCATTATATATTTTTGTTGACTTGTGTTGTAAATTTTTTAAGAGATTACCAAAGTGTTTGATATATTTTTAAATTTTTTTAGCAAAAAGTGAAAACAGCTAGAAGGAACTTGTTAATCTAGGAATTGAGCTTTCTGGTAGAGGTTGTGAAGTTAATATTGATTAAATTTTTGGCATAATTTTAGTAGTTCACAAATGGTCTTAGTTGCTTTTAATCATTCTGATATAAATATATTGATTAAATATGTTGTTGGTGATATAGGCTCTATGCAAGTATGCAAGTGGCACAAATCCTATAACAGGGGTGAGCACCAGAACAAGCCTGGGTTGTGGCAACAGCCGCCGTAACGCCTATGGTTCCCCATCTTCCCCTCTGCTAAGTGCTCCACCGCAAAAATTGCTTGACCGGGATGGCTTCTGTGATGACAAAACAGGGCTTTGTGATGCAAAATAGACAAAGCCAATACAACATCCTATATATCATGTGTGTGAATAAAACTATTCTGAATACAAGAAAGTGCACAATGAATAGAGACTGTTTAAAAGAGTAATTCAATTTTCAATACATGCAACAAATAGTGCAATTTTTGTGTCCAAGTATTTTCATTTCTTAAATTTTAACAGGATAATTTAATCTATATATTGAGGCTACTAGAAACATAAGATGACTGACATGTGTATCATTAAACTCTCATTGATTGAATTTTTGAAGTTATGTGCATTATGTATGTGTTGTTCATGTCTACTGTGTATTTATTTGTAACTAATCTCTGTGTCAAAGGTGCCATGGAGAACCCTTCATATTTCTCTGCGGAACTATCCTATTATAGAGATAGGTTTACATGACAAGTGTTAAAATGCCAAAATACCCTCCAAAAAATGCACTCATGATGAGGTGTATAGAGAACTACCAGCTAGCTCCAATCCTTCTATCCAAGCTCTTAAATGGGTCATTGAATGAGGTTCAAAAGATACAATTATTGAGGGAGACTTTTGGGAGCTGATGTGCCTAACTATTGTGTTGATGGTCATTTGGATAGATATCCAATTCTTACTACAGCAGAAGACACACACCTTTACTTTAAATGTGTGAAAAGGAAGGGCACCCATCATTGTGTCACTGTGTAGCATAAGGAGCTTTGAGGTTTTTGTTGCTTATATTCCTAGATATGTGTTGGATTTAGCAGCTGTGGATTGTAATCAATGTTCTTTATTTCTCATATCAATGGAACTTTTCTTGCCTTTGGTGGGGAAAAAATAAATAAATAAATAAATAAAATAAAACTAAAAATAAAAATTGAAAAAAGAAAATAGATCAGAGGTGAATCTGTACACTGTTGGTGGTATTATCTTTACATATGCTAGTATTATTTGGTACAGATGAGATCTGTTCATCCTGAAATATAAAGCACAAGTTGCTTTTGGGGTTTTCAGTTGGGATTTTTATTGTTATTGTTAAAAAAAATAATAAAAAAAAAGGAACCAAATTTAAGTATTTAGAAGTCAAGTTTTGACAAATTAAAGAAACCAATCAAGTTGCTTGGCGTTTACTTAAATATTTTTGTTTATAGAGTGGGCCAACAAACACAGCCCGAACAAAGTGTGCAACAGCAATCACTAGATAAAGAGATGGGTGTCTCCTTTAATAGCCTCGAGCAATTCCCATCAGGGAATGCCTCTTTTATCCTTTTATTCCCTAATTAGGGCACAAATGTTAGTAGATCTCATCATAATTTCACCTCTCATTTCTTTCCATGACATAATCCAATTCAGTGCAATGTAAACTAGACAATCCGTACAAAGAACATCATATCTTCCAAATATCTAGCGACCAGGATTATAAGTATTAGAATAGTACTGCACAGGGGCATGGCATGCATAAATTATTATGAGCTGTGATGTAGAAACCAAAATTATATACCACTAAACTTTCAAAGTTTAATAAATTAAATTATGGGTGTTTTAGCTGAAATTTAAGATGCATAATTTTTTAAAAAAATAAAATAAAAAATTAATCTTTTTACTTATTTATTATTTTTTTTTTTTCTCCAATCTTTTTACTTAGTTAGACTGCTTAACCAAAGTTATTAACATGTGTGTGTGTGTGTAAAGTATGTAGAAAGCCCAAACAGGCCCAGGAGGGCATATAAAAGTAGAACAGGCTCACCTACCTGACGGCCCAATTTTATATCCATATGAAACACAAGGCTACAAAAGTGTAGCAGCTCTAAAATACTTATGAATACAATATTTAGGGTAAAGTGTATTAAACCCCCCTGAATTATTAGGGTACGTGCAAGAAACCCCCTGAACTATAAAAGTTGAAAAAAATTCCCCTGAACTATTAGGGTATGTACAAGAAACCCCCTTGAATTATAAAAGTTGCAAAAAAACCCCCTTGAACTATTGGGGTATGTGCAACAAACCCCCCTGAACTATATATTTTTTTGCAGTTTACCCCATCCGAGCAAATTGATTGACTGAAAGGGACGATGAAGCTGAGAAATTTGTGGCTAGGATCGGAGTGGTAAATGTCGTCTGAGGAGTGTTTGGATAAGCCAAGAAATCTGTTGCTGGGATCAGTGGGTCTCCTATCATAGCTCCATCATAGCCATTGCTCCACCCGCCAGATCCGTTCATATATATCGCACTTCTCTGCACCGTTGCGTCAGCCCATCGCCATCACCGCCTTGCCCACCGTTCAGCTCACCTTGCTCGCCGGTCCATTCTAGCGTCAATTCCAAGCTCGTCGGCCCATTCTGCCATCTCCATAACCGAGCACACCGCCATCCGTGTTTCGAGCACACAGTCGTCCACAGTTCATCGCCGAGCCCCCTTGAGCTCGCCGCCGCCTCCACAGTTCACGGCCTAGTCAACCAAGCTCTCATCACAGTCGAGTCCTCTGCGCACAAGCCCCCATCATCCAAGACCGAGCCATCCCGCCGACCTCGGATTTCTTTGGTCTCTTCTCTCTTTCTCTCTCTAGCTTTCTGTTTTGGGTTGTGTTGGGTGAAAAATATCTTTTGGCAGAAAAAAAAAAATGTAAGAAGTGTATAAGTTAAAACAACGCCGTGTGTTATAAGGGTAAATTGGTCTTTCTAAATTTTCGGTGCCGAAAGCTGATTTTATGAGGGTAAATTGCAACAAAATCATAGTTCAGGGGGGTAAATTGCAACAAAATCACAGTTCAGGGGGTTTTTTGTAGTTCAGGGGGGTTTCTTGCAAATGACCAATAGTTTAAGGGGGTAAATTGCAACAAAATCATAGTTCGGGAGTTTTTTTTGTAGTTCATGAGGGTTTCTTGCAAATGACCAATAATTTAAGGGAGTTTAATGCACTTTACCTCAATATTTATTAAATACTATGGGGAATATTCCGAATTATAAAGCAAGTAAGAAAGTGTTGACATGTGTATGTTGGAATTCTAAATATGTCAGTGGGGGGATGAAAAGTGAAAACATTATACGCCGATACATATGCACTGCACTGCAGAGAAGCAAGACTGAGGGGACTGTGGAGGCTTGGTATATATCTGGGGGAGAAGGAAGCATAGAAATGATGCATAGTCACATGGAGTTGTTGCAGATGGTCAATGATGTGATCTTACTTAGCCTGCAAACAACATATATAATGAACTCTAATAATGCACTCACACACCACACCAATGCGCATGCATATCTACTATGTATATGGCCTGCTTCATTTGGACTTTAATTTGCAGTGACAAATATATGGGCATGTGGGTGCTTCTTTTTCTTTTCTTATGTGTAACAAATATGAAAGAGTATTGCCATTTCTATTATCACAAGTGACCAAAGAAGAAAATGAATTGAGAAAACAAACCCAAATCAAAATGGTAAACCTTGATCATGTCAAACTCAGCCACAAAGAGCCCCCCTCACTTTACAACTTGCAAGCATATATATTCCCCTTTCAATCTCACAGGTGGACTTCTTCTGCTAAGCATGCTTCTTTCTCTCTCTCTCACACACACACACTGAGAGAAGGTGAATTATGAGAGTAAGAAAGCACGCCCAATTATTGTGTCCCCTTTAGTATTGTCGACATTGCTTGAAAGGGACTTTAATGCTTGACTTCAACCCAAGCAAAATCATGCTTCAAGTCAATAACATCCCAAGAAACTAGATGATTGTGCTTGCTAGCTCCTTAGTCTTATAATCCATAAATATCGCTCGAACTTTGATTCTCTTTTTCTGTGAGTACTAAAACCCATGCAACTCTCTTCCAATGCACACATATATTATTGCTGATACTTGTTCCATCCTTCGGATTCTCATCCACTATAGGTTCAACTGGGAATTAAGCTATGCTGATGCAAGAAATGAAAGCATATTGCCATATTTTCTTTTTTATTAATTCTGCGTTTGTATCTCGGAATTTTCGATATACTTGAATGTTTAAACAATATTCAAGCTTTTAGTGTCTAGCTTCTTCATCTTGGTACTTCTCATCAGTTCTCTGCTGGCTTTCCAGCACAGGCTTTGATACTCGAAGAAAGGCAAGCTATATATATACTTCATATAATATTAGTCCAACTTGCAAGTAGTTACATAGTCTTAAAGAAGCTCTAACTTTGTTTTTACATTCCTTACCATAAACAGGTATGGTCTTTTGATACCAAGAGTGTGTTCAAATTGTTTGTCTTCACTATAAGTTGTTTGTATTGACTCGCACAAACACACCTAGCCCCTATTTTTCACCAGCCTGTTTACATACGTATGTCCCTACATTCATCAACCCACATCATGTTGTTTTCTTCATTAATAACAGTACTAGCTCTGTAATTTTTAGTTGAATGACTATATATTTTTTTTCCACCCAATAGTTAGTTTTGCACACAGTTCTTGATATTAGCACTAATATATGCCACAATCTTTTTGTGTTTCACATAACTTTTTATAAATTTGTCTCACTCTCCTTGCAGTCAGCTAGCAGGCAAACCAGCTGGTAGGACTACCTAGCTAGAAAGCTCTATTTTTGCTCACTCATGGAAGTTTTGAGCTTTTGTGGGGGCACATACATATGAGTGCTTGTAGCCTTGTACAATATTTCTTCAAAAATCATATATATAAACTAAAACATAGAGTAGTACTTGGCTTTTAATACAAGTTTATTGGACACTAATGAAAATTTAGAGTTCAGTGTGTTGGCTTTTGCTTTAATACCACTTTCTGATTTTGCTCTGATACCACTTTGTTGAAAATAGTGGACGGGTTAGAGACACACACAACACGATAATATGGAAGAGGAATTGAAGAAAGAAACACTTAGAAATATATTTTATTTTACTCATACTATTTCATCTTCTTCTCTACTTCTAAAATAGGTATAGTACATGAGTTTATATAGGCTCTAAGACATATGTAACCAATTACATTTCAATGCCCAACTACTCCCACTAATCCCACTAATATTGTATTTAGTAGACTTAACTTTCATGTCTTCCACTAACACAAAAACAAACTCCCACTAACATAGTATTTAGGAGACTTAATTCCCATACCTCTTAGTCTTACATAACTTTCTCCATCAACACCATTTACTACCCCACTAACATAAAATGCACACATGCATCATGTATACCAAATACTTAAAAATACTAATTACAACTAAAATTCTAAAACCAAGTTTATTTTCAACACAGTGCTCTATGTATATAGGCTAAATAAGAACTAAGAAGGGTAACCTTTTCTTTTGTGGACTATTAACATTTCCATCCAATTAAGCATGAGACATTCAAATCATTTAGCAGTCTCGCGACATACAGTTAATTTCAATATATTAGGGTTGTTGTGAACTCAGGTGAGCCACAAAACAGTCCCATTCAAATTTATTTGGAAGGCCAGAATATTAATCTCTCCTCGTTGTAGCTATTCCCACTTGAATTTTATCACTTAAATCTTACAAGTGCATGCAGTTACTGGCTGGGCACTGTTCCACTGATTTCTAAAACTACTAGTTTATTGAACAACTTGTTTGCTTCCCTTTCAATTCAAAAAGGTATAAACACTTTGAAGTTAGCATTTTAGTATGAAAATTTCAGATGCTGGTTTCTTATTCCAAATGTAGCCATTTTCTTCTTCCTCCTCTTCTTCATGTTGGTTTGATAGAATTAAAAAAAAAAAAAAAAAAAAAAAAGAAAAAAAAAAAAAAGAAAGAGTTATGGTCACAAAATTTTAAAGAACATTATAGTGGTAGAGATATGATTCTATAATTTACACTAAAAAATAAAGCAATGTTCTGATGCTATATCAGTTAAAACAATATAAGTCTAAATGTAAAGACATCACACAAAATAATTAACCTCTTCAAATGCATATTAAGTTTAAATAAGGAAAATACATATATCCAACACTCTCCAAGTCAGTTCCAACAGCACTCTCTGCCGTACAATAATAGTCCACCTAAGTAGAGTTTTATTTATTTGGAATAGAAATTTCTGGTCTGAGTAGTACTTGCCTATATTATCAGTACAAAGGGTAGCAGAGAAATGCAACAACTAATTAAAGCATTACCATTTAGCTTTATTATGTACAGAAACCAGGATCGAGACTTCCTTTTCTTGTATGTCCTATAATTAATTAGTATATATTATATATCTAAGTTTATTACTTATAATATTATATATATGCTCTCACTTCCACAGGTCAATTTGGCAACTTGGGGTGGACATTGAGGCATATTCTGAAGCCGATTCTTGCCTCTTTGATTCGGATAGCATGTTCAAGTGTTCAGCCACTTGAAAGGAAGCTGCATTCGAATATGTGGTCTCCTTAGCAGCATCTTCTTGGCTGAGCTGAGATGCAACAAATTTGTCCAGGACTCGCCAATCTGTCACTTGATCAACTGCTTGCTCATTGTTATTACCATAAAGCGAGTTCTTATTTTGTTGATTGTTCACATGTTCTTCTTGTGTGAGCGTCGAGGACTGCAAAGTGCTTCCGTTGTTGCTATCAAAACCATATGGAACCACGGAGTTGCAGCTGACACCAGCAACAGATTGTTGAACTTGTGGGCTTTCTAACTGAGGGAGCTGGAGGAAAGCATCATGAGACATGTTGTACTGCAACTCAAGCTCTTGTTTACAAGGGTAGTGGTGTTGGTATGAAGCATAGGGCTGTGAAATCTGCCTAGGGGAATCGAAATCTGGCATGAATGAAACTTGATCATCATACCAACATGGCGATTCATGCTCACCCATCTTCCGCACTGTTGCCAATCGCTTCTTGAAAACCCTACATACAACCCATCCCTCTTCCTGTTGCAATTACACATATCATCTTAGGGACAAATACTTAATGTTTGTTTTCTGTTTGTGATTGTAAGGCTATAAATATGGATAGAAATTAATGAAACCACTGGTGCATGAAGGATGTGCATTCCATGCATGGTATGTTCATTTAGTACACTTGACGAGAGTTAGAACTGATCCATTTAACATATGACACTGAAATTCAATAAGAATCCATTTTCAGATATTTGTCGACAATCCATTTTGAAGTTTTCAGTTGTTAGATATAGTGTTCAATTATTAAACAGGTATAAGTATACGGGAATCCATTTTCTGTAGTAAAAATCTCTCATAAGTACTAGAAATTAAGACACATTTAATATGAGTGGAGGCATGTGTAGTTAAAATACATAGACAGCTTTATATTATGAGAATTGTTATTAATATGAATTCAGTATAGTCTGGACAATGATTCCGAGAATGCTATATATATGAGCAAACAAGTTCTAGCAATGCAATGATGCCTTCATAGTTAAATACATTCTTAACGCTTGCAGTGATGTCTTAAAATCGAGAATGTGATTGTACAACATATATATATATATATAATGGCATAGATAAATTGATAAAGAAATATGTTGAACAAAGTATGGCTCAGTTACTTGCCTGAGGAGTTGCATTTTCATTTGTTTCTAGCCTATACTCGTGCATGATCCAATCCGACTTCTGTCCATTTGGGGCTCGACCTTTATAAAACACCAAGGTCTTCCTCATGCCAACCAAACTATGCTTACAGTAAATAGCCTTGTCTCTGCCTGTAGCTTTCCAAAATCCTGCTTTTGTAGCTCTGTTAGTGCGAGTTCCGGTGGGATACTTCTTATCTTTGTGACTAAAGAAGTACCACTCATTTTGTTCTTCAGTTCCTATCTTGCAAAGCTCTGTTCAAATTAACAAGAAAAAGAAACACAGGAATAGTCAGTATTATAAGATATACATGGTATGTATCATGGATGATAGAATTGTGTGTGCGTGTGCGCGCGCGGTTGTGGTGTTTGATACCTTGAAGATCCCATGGCTCAATTTTGTAGAGATCAACATCTCTAATGACATCTAGATCAATTCTTCTTGAAGCAATTTTTTTTCTAAGGTAGTAATCAACGAGTTCTTCATCTGTGGGGTGGAATCTAAAACCAGGAGGAACATGCGAAAAAGTATTCATATTCTCCCAGGTTCGATTGATAACCTGGATTTGCAATTGCACAGGTTATGAGCTGTTTGAAATTTAATCTTATAGTATACTCATATCTATTTGAGTATGAAGAAAACTTTTAACATATAAAAGCATAAATGACCAGTTTTCTCAGTTTAGTATGGTGTTTCAATTCAGAAGTTATCTACCTCAGTTGTAAAAAATAATCGACATGTTTGGTTCAGTAGTCTGAAAAAGTCCTTGAATCACTTTCAACTACTGTTTCAGATTTTTTTTTTTAAACAATTGACAGTTTGAAACTTCATTTTGCCAAAAGTTTTATGAGATTCAATTTAAAATGACGTAATGTCAGTCTTCAGAATTCTCGAAAACTGATTTCAGATAATTGAAACTGACTCACTAAAAAGATGCTAAATTCCATATACTAGTATTTATGATATAGTTTTTGTACCCATTGGCCACATAGTAAGTTCTAGGACTTTTACTACAAGCATCTAAATATATGAGGGTTTTAGTTACTACAAACATCTAAATATATATATATGCATGTATGCGCGAACGTGTGTATTTTCAAGCAAAACAGGTTAGAATCTGAAATATGTGATCTATATGCGCATGTATTAACCAGTAAGTCACTTGAGAACTTATGACATTGTTATCACTCTTCAAACAATTTTTTCATAACTTGCAATGACAAGCAACAGGTTCCAAACGATTGAAATTAACTCTATATACATATATATACTCGTATATCTTTGAAGCATGTAGCTGACATGCCAGACAATTGTTTAACAAGCATGATGATTGAAGAAACTGTTGAAAAATGTCAACCTTAAGAGTCAAAACTTTTCTTTATTGCCAAAAAGAGAGAAATTTAAAAAAGAAAAAGGAAAAAAAAAAAAAAAAAAAAAGGAGTGTTGTATATACTGTATGATATAGGATGAACTCTATAATGTAAAATTTAGTGGTATGAATGAATTTGACTCATAGGGAACACAAAAACAGAAATCTCTAAGTGTACATATTGAACAGATGGTTGATCATAGAGATGAAGCGAGCATCGATCATGCAGTGAAGAAAAGAAAAAATGTCTCCACCCAAACGTGATAATACCTGTTTTAAATTATGAACAGATCCAACATCAAGCATGCTATGAATAATGCATGGTTGTATAAATAGATCTAAGAAACAGGCTAGTTATTATTGTCGTTATAAAATAGAAAAAGAAAACTACTCAATTAACTTGGCTAATTGCTTGAGGAATGTCAGTACTGAATGAAATTTAGTATAAATAGAAATGTGTGCTCATAAAGGTGAATGCTAGCTAGTTAAGAATATTGTGTAATCAAAGTATAATATAAAATACAAAAAAGTATTCATTTACACAAAACAATTAAAGAAATGTTAAAATTATGGCTTATCATACATAAAATTATAACTTGAAAGGCCCTCGAGACTGGCTAATTGACATGTTATAGACATATATACATATATATATACACACATATACATAATATTTAAGATAACTAAATCAATTGCAATCAGGAAGACTAATATATTGTAATTTTTCTTCAGGAATCTTATCATTTATCTAGGAAGTCCTAAATGGCTGAACCAAACAATCCCAATTACTTAATATAACTAATCGCATTCCTTGGGAAAGGATTTAGACAGAACCATTTAGATATGATATGAGATCTAGCAATAACAATCTCAAATTGGGAAAAAAGAAGAAGGAACAAAGAAAGAAAAAGGAAAATTGAGGATAACCACTTGTCCTTCTCTTCAAAATGTCATCAAAACCATTGACAGATTTTTTTTTACAAAAAAAAAAAAAAAAAAAGGCGACTACGCCTATAGAGATGGTGAACATGGGAGCGCAGGAATGGAACATAGAATATGAAAGGTAAAGGATCGGACATGAGATATCTAAATGACAAAACCCAAAGTGAATAGTCAGATCAAAGAGTGACTTGTTTGCAATCAGATCAAACAGTCATTCCAGGTATGTGTGTGTGTGTGTGTGACCAATCAAAAAAAATATTGTGGTAAGCATCCTCAAAAACTTAATTGATACTTTAACCATAAAAATGATGAACATTATAAGAATGAAGCCAATTGAAAAGTTAGGACCAACTCAGAAACAAGAAAATAAGAAAGAAATTTAAAAAAAGAAAAAAAAAAAAAAAGGAGAAGAAGAAGAAGATGAACAAGAAGAAGAAAAGAGAACACAACCTTGATGATAATCCACTACTGTATACCCTATCCAACGCTATCAAAAAATTCTTCCACAGATCTGGGTTGAACCCAATCTAGCTCGTTTCCACCAACCAATGAAGAGATATAAAAGAAACTTTGAAGGCTCTCTAGCTTTTGTCACTAACTCCTGCAAGTACTTTTTGAGCCCACTGAACCGGCAGACAAAAAAGAAGCAAAAAAAGAGAGATGGTCGGAACTAAAACTATTTCCTCGGGAATTGAACTGATCAAGAAACTGTTTGTTTGTTTCTACTCTCAGAAAAATCAATCAAACTGTCCTGTGCTTGTCAAGAAACATCAGATCCCGAGAAAAGAAAGGAAGAGAAAGCAAAGGAAAAAGGAAAAAGGAAAAAGGAAAGGTTTTCAAGGAATGGGAAAATAGAGATGAGATAGGTTTAAATAAGAAACATGCATATGCATCACTTGATTATCTCATGCCATATATCACTCTCATTCTCTCTCTCTATATATAATATATATATATATATATTCTCTCGATCTCTCTTTGATCTTTCAATCGATTGAATGGAAGCTTAATTGTTGGAAAAGCTTTGCGCGGAAAACTGGTGGCGGTAAACTCCCACCAGCAACTGATGGAGACCAGAAAGTGAATCTAATGTTCTTTTCTGTTATCTCAGGTTGCCGGAGAGAGAGAGCCCCAAACAGTGAACGTCCAAAGCTGACGGCAATTGATCACTAAGCCTTCTTAAAGCCCCCACCCGACCATAAAGAATGTTTTCTTAAGATACTATATTATTTTATTTTTTATTATATCAAGCAAAGTTTATATACAATGGGTGACATTTTTTTGGTGATGACATAATCCTAGTTTCTATGTAACTTTATTTCCCACTTAATCTACATAGAGTACCATTAAATTGTCTCAAAGTTTGTTTGTTAGTTAATTAAGATAAATTTTATTAATATTTATGCCTACAAGATGGGCTACAAGCACCAAAAACAAACTTAGATCACCCAAAATTTATTCTAGCGGGGAACCAACAAAGGAGTTCTATTCGGAACGATTGAGGGCTAGTTGTTGATCGACCTTAATATATTATCATTAACTATTGCTTAAATGTATATATATTGATATAGTATTATTATATATAAGTAAAATTGTATACATCATGAATAGACTCAACAAATCTTGTATTGACGAGAGACTAGTGCATTAGGTTAGCCCTTTTATTATTTGTGTATGTAAGTGTATGTGTGTGTGTATATATATATGTATATGATGTGAAACTATTTCAACGATGTATCTTTTTGAGGTATAACAACAATGTAAATCTCGAGCATCTATACTCACTTGCAAATTACAAATATCAATTATACTAAAATTGAAACTTAAAATCTCAATATAGTAACCTAGAGATCTTACTATCTCAACAACACTACGATTTATTAATGACCTTGTTGATCATGAGAGTACCTGCAAATGCTTCCTTTGTTTTTAAACTCGGTTTAATTTCTTACTCAGAAGAGGCAAATCTATTTAATTGATCGAAGACGAAAAAAATTGAAATCTTCATATAATCCTAGTTACTTACTACATTAAATGCAAGCTTGATTGGATCATTTTTTTCATTTAGCAGCGTTATTAAATTCAAACAGTGAAAAAAATTAAAAATCAAATATGAGTTAAGTGAAATAATCCTCCACTAATTTTTCACATTATAGCTAACTTCATAGTTCGAATGTCCAAGTGCATGTACGTGTCACACACAAAACCTAGTAAGTATGACACTACTAGGTTTAAAATATCTTACGAGCAGCGTAATTAAGACACAACTTCCTCTTGTTAGTGTCTTAATAAGAAGTTGGTAAGAGCTCTGTAGTTATATAGCTAGCAAAAATAAATTATCAAGCTTGAGGCTTGAACAATACAAAAAGATCACACTTTTTGGAGTTAATTAATTAGAGTTTACAAAAAGATTAAGCAAAACCTTTCTAAGGTTCAGAGGATAAGCTAATTAAATATCGTCATTAGTTTCTTTATACCTGGATTAACAGACACACAGTCACGCACATAAAACACACGCATACATCAGTAGAATCCCTCACCAGCAATAGCACGCGACCTCTGGTTGGTTGGTTCACAATTTTATATACATATACATTCTCTTTTTACAACCTGTCACGAGTTGTGGACCCCATGGACCGACCCATTCGAATACGACAGAGACATCTCTCCAAATACACCTTTTAAAATTTTTTTTTTTTTGAAATAATAATAAAAAAGTTGAAAGCTCATCTGAGCCGCTAAGCCATTTACGGATTGACGACGGTGCCGGTGAACAGTGGGTCCCACATGAACGGAATGATGGCTCGGGACTGTGTACGTGGCGGCCGGTGGTCCGGCGTGGGCTGCCCCATTGATCATTAAGCTCGCAATTTGTAGTGCAAAGTGGGGTCCACACCGTTATCTATCCCCGTTCTGACGTGGGTCCCAATTTTATTTTGTTTCTGCCAGATAAGCTGATGCATTTTGTGATCGACACGTAAGCAGAAATTTAACTTTTATTTTGTTTCGGTCAGATAAGGTGATGCATTGTGTGATCGACACGTAAGCAGAAATTTAGCATAGTGCTTGTGCGTGCCGATAAGTTAATCGACACCTTCACTTTTCCCTCTGCAATCTGCATAGTTAAGGAAATAACGGCATTAAAAGATTTACAAAGTCTCATATTATATACAGTATTATATATGTTTATATGTATATTTTGTAATATTTATATATATATAGGCATGTATAGAAGTGAAGCAAAAGTCACATACGCTATAAAAGTGTCATCTTGGCCCACCAACAATGCTTGCGTGGCAATTGTGTCTACTCGTGATAGGTTCATTTCTAGAAGCCCCAGTTGGAGGGCATATGTTCCATAATGATGATTTAAGGTTGTATTTGAATACAACATTAGATTGGTATACATTTTATACATTGCCAAAAAAAAAAAAATGAGTATTGGGAAAAATAACCATTATGTAGAATTCATCATCGAATTGCTTATGCAATTGTAGACCATAAAATATCCCTTTGACCGTTTGCTTTGACAAGTTTTTTCTTTAATTTTAAAGTAATTTTAAATTTATTATAGTAAGAATCGCAAATCAGCTCAAATGTTTATAAATAAATCGATCTCAACTCAATCAAAGTCCGGTTTGAGCTTGTTTGCAAAACTAAGTTTAAAATTTTAGTAGAACCCAAACAATTCATAATTGGACTCATTAAGCTCATGCAATTAGTATTGATGATCGTGAACCGGTTTCGTAAAAATGACTTGTTTGTAAGGAGGGGAGTTCTTTAAATTACTAATTACTTTTTCTCCTTAACAATCTTAGAGAATGAGCTTGAGACTAATATCAAAACTGATTAAACAAGCAAATTAGTTGAGCTAGAAACACTTTGTATCGACTCGGACTTTGTGTTCAACAACCTAACTTAGAGATCGATCTTGACCGGGCAAAACTGAGCTTGGTTAGTCACATTTGTAATCTACTAATGACAATATTGTAAATATGTGTACGTTTGCTTAAATATTTAAAAAAAAAAAAAAAGTCAAAGAAAAATGAAAATTACATTTGGGATTAAACTTTATTTGTCAACATGCAATTAAAAAAAAAAAAACAATGAAATGAAATTTCCCATAATATATTTTTTTTTCCTTCAAATTTTTATTACACGTTAAGTTATTTACGAGTAAATGAATTAATAGAGTGTTTGCCAGAGTCTAGCATTCCTAGTATAAATATTAGTATAATTTTTATGTAGGTGATTTTTAACTTAATAAAAAATTAATTGAGTTACTAATGGTGTTATAATTGTCTTGTGTTATGCTAAAAAATGGCGATTAATGTTTAACTAGTGAGTAGGGTAAGTTGAGTAGATGTAGTAGTGGGGGTGAGATTGGAACTAGTGGGCTTGGGGAGCCCACTTAAAATCATTGTTAAAATAGACTCATTATTGTCTCGGTTCCCCACGTTTCACAACTAGCCACCAAGGATGGGCAACACCTTGAGAAAGCCCCCCAATTCTTTTCTTTTCTTTTTTTATTTATTTATACAAAGACATATAATATATATATATATATATAATATAATATATTTTTTTGTGTGTGTGTGGTGGAAAGGTATTGTAGCTTGTGACAGCGGATCACACCGTATTGCATTGCTCGTATAATGAAAATGCACTATTTACTGAATAAGTATACTAATTACATAATTTTTTGATTCACTCATTATCTACTTGTCAATGAAAATGAAAAATTTAGGAGTAATCATTTTTACTTTGATTTTGTGACACAAGATTCTGCTTAATTATTCCCCTTCCCCTCTTAAAAAAATATAGAATAATAATAATAATAATTTTTGTTAGTAAGGGAGTAAATTGACTTTATTGTACATTCTGAAGAGAAATTAAGAATAAAAATTTATAAATTATAAAATTGTCCAAATGGTTTTGGTTATAAAGTCATTTTAACTTCTTATCAAAGAACAACTAACCATGGGGATAAAATGCAATTTTTTAAAATAAATCAAAGGAGTCATTAGCCAAAAATATAATTTAAAAAAGTTATGTAATACAAAATTTAATGTAATAGGATAAAGTGCAATTTACGATGTTATCTCTTATCGGGCTTGAATACTCTCAACCTCTTTTTCAGAGAAAAGATATCATACATACTCTATTTTGAATATATGTACTAAACCTCTTCAATACACTTTTGAGTATTGTCTTTTTTTTTTTTGGTCGATATTTAGCTTTGGGTAGTGTATATTTCGACTGAAGTATCTCCCAAGAGTATATATGTGTATTACCTGTAAAAGATATGGAGTAAAGCTTGGGCAATCTCAATACAAGTAGGCCGTAAGTTTCATTTCTTATTTTTATATTTGTAATGTACAGTAATGGTGTACATCAATAAAGACGACTGTTTATCCAATATTTGGTATAATGTGTGTGTGTGTTTGTGTTGTATATATACATATAGATACATGTATATTGGATAATCAATTTTCAAGGGGAGGGAAGAAAAAAAAAAAAAAAACACAACTTAATTCAATTCATAATGAGTATGATCAATTATTTTTTCTTAACTAAGAATACCGCAAAATAGCATGTCAAAAAATAAAAATTTAGTAATCAATATTCAAATATTATGTCATTATTCTATAATATATAGTAAAAAAATTAAAAATAAATAGTGAAAAAGGAGGTAAAAAATTATCAAATATGAACATTATGTTCATATTTTTGCAGTAAAATTTAAACAACGAAAAAAAAAAAAAAGAAAAAAAAGAAAAGAGAGAGAGAGAGAGACAGAATAAGAAGAGAGAAACATGTTATTGCACATACATTGTATATGAGTGCAAGAATAAAAAATAATAAATAATAAGAGGAGGAAAATAAATAAAAGAAGAAAAAATAAATAAATAAATAAAATGAAAGGACTTTGAAGAGGAAAATTATGATTTTGTTGAAGAGAGTGAATGCAACTTTTTGTTCTGAAGGGATCAAAGAAACTTGAAAAAGGTGAAAAAAGTAAAAGAGAAAATAAAGAAAGAGTTAGAGAGATTGTTTGAAGGGTGAATTTTATGGGGATATTGTGTAATTTTTTTTTAAAATTACATATACTAATATATATAAGTACACACACATATGTCCCCTGGCCCAAATGT